CAACACCACAATCAAATTAATGATCACACCTATAACCATCCACACTGTACTTCAGGTGCCCAGAACCTGCTTATCTTATAACTCAAAGTTTGCACCCTTTGACCAACATCTCCCCATTTCTCCTACCTCCAAGCCAGGTTACACTGCTCTCTCTGATGCTTCTATTCCTTATGTAAGTGACATCATACAGCATTTGTCTTTCTGTGTCTGGCTTATTCACTTAGTATGTTTTCTAGGTTCATTCATGTTGTTAAAAATTGAAAGATTTGGGACTGGAATTGTGGCTCACTGGTAGAACACTTGCCTAGAAAGTGTGAGGCACTGAGTTTGATCCTTAGCTCCACATAAAAATAAATAAATAAAATAAAGGTATTGTGTCCATCTACAACTAAAAAAATTTTTTAATTGAAAGATTCCCTTCTTTTTGTGGCTGAGTAAAATTCCATCATATATCACACTTCCTTTATCCATTAGTCCCTGGATGGACACTGGGGTTGATTTCTTGTCTCGGCTGTTGGGAACAGTGCTGGTAAGCAGACCCTGCAGGCTCCTGCTGTACCAGAGAGCTCCTGGGGCAGGAAGTACAAAAACACAGATACGTGGCAGGTGCCTTAGAGGCAGCTCTGTGGGTCCACAGCAATTTAAGGTGGAATGAGGTCCTTCAATGGGAAGGCTGGTCACCACCTCTACAAGAGAATTGGTGCAAGAAATACAGCAAGTAGAGTTGCCACTGCTGCTGAGGCACCCAGGGATGTAAGCAACATTCATCATGACCCTCCCCTGCCTCACCAGCTGGGTACCACAGCTTGCCTAATGAGGTACCCAGACCTTCCCCTCTGAGGGGTATGAGCCCCTGCTGTTGACAGTGTTTGCTGCACTAGTACCTCTCATGGAAGTACTCCAATGCACAACTCCTCTAAGTGCCAGTTGTGTGGTAACACTCAACAGCCTCCTAACAGCCAGGGTCTGTTATCCCTTCCTCTTTTGCCTGCAAGTCCACCAGCAAGAGCTCAGAATGATATAGTTGTGTCTGCAGATTCAGGTCCAGCATCCTTCCCTGCCCATCAGTGGGATCCCCTCATGCAAACAGCCCAACTCCAGTGGATCCTAAGGCTGTGGAGACAGAGCATGTTTTACATGTGAGTTGCTAGACGATGGTGAGAAATAGTTAATTCCAGCCTCTAGGTTCGTGGACCTGTGTTTTTGCTCCCCAATCCTCACCTGCTGACTCTTAGTGGATCAGCATCACATATGGGGTTTTGATTCAGTGCACATACCCCAACTTCTCAGGATACTGTCCCAAAGCCAAGACCTTAGCTCAGCCTTTAGAGGTCATTCTAGGGCTGGGGTTATGGCTGGTGGTAGAGTGCTTGGCTAGCATGCACAAGGCACTGGGTTTGATCCTCAGCACCACATAAATGTAAAACAAAGATATTGTGTCCACCTAAAATTTAAAAATAAATATTAAAAAAAGAGGTCATTCTATCTTTCCATTAGACTAGCTTCTTGTGGGTAATGCAGGACCTCAGAGAAACGGTGGATCCATGGCATTCCACATATTGCCACATCCCTTTCACTGTAAGAGAGTTTTTTGGCCTGAGGCAATGTTATACATGATCCCACGCTGGTAAACTAAGCATTCTCTAACTCCTGGATAGTGATGTTGCCTGAGACACTGTGGATAGGGAAGGCAAATCCACACTCAGAGTAGTTTTCCGTTCCAATGAGGATAAATCAGCCAGGAACAGTGTTGCACACCTGTAATCCCAGCAGCTCATGAAGCTGAGGCAGGAGGATCACAAGTTCATAGCCAGCCTCAGCAAAAGCAAAGCACTAAGAAACTCAGCAAGACCCTGTCTCTAAATAAAATACAAAATAGGGCTGGACATATGACTCAGTGCTTAGTGCCCCTGAGTTTAATCCCCAGTTCCAAAAAAAAAAAAAAAGATGAATGGGATAGAAAGGGTGGGCTGTAACCAACCTGCTAGAGTGACTAGCTGATATTGTCTACAAATGGCAGTACAACAGAAGCTCAGCTTGATCTCAGCTGCTAACAGGTCAGTCAACAGCAGTAATAACTAGAGGAGTTATCATTATGCTCTAACTTGATAAGAGCGAGCCCGAGTTAGTAGGCAAAATCTGCATTCCTGTTACCATGGCACCTCCAACCATGAGCTAGCTCACTGTATAGTACAGGAAGGCAGAGGCTGGTATCTCTGTCTTGTTCAGTGACTCCCCTGCCATGAGGAGGCACAAAGATGCACACATGCTGTGACCACTCCCTGGGTCCAGCTGTTTCCCCAGACCTCCAGTCTCTAGTCTTCTGCTCTGGCCCTTTCCTGACCAACCAACACTGTCACACCCAGGATTCCACCTGAACTTCCATAAGCTCCATCTACTCACTCTGCACCAAGTGATAGCCACGGCACTGCATGAGGTTCTGCTCACAGAAGATTCCCCTTATCATCACCCTGAATGGGACTGCCACACAGCAAGCAGCAGTTCATTTTCAGCTCGTAATACATCAAGATGACCCACTGTGAACCGGACCTGATTTTTATTTTCTGTTGATAGACAGGCATTGGTGCAACAAGGTAGGAGGTGTGGGACCACAGTCACCTTGTCCTGTAGATGACTGCTCCCTCGTGGAAAAGGTTGGCTCCATTCCCAAGGATACCTTTTTCATTGAACAATGAATGAATTATTCTTATTACTTGGTAGATATGACAATGTCTATCCCAGGACAAGCAGACTGAGTTGCAAGGTCATTTGGTGCCCCAATCAGGTGTTCAGCCTCTACTTGGGTGTGGTAGCATGCCAGGGGCTGTTTTTACCTGGCAAGTGATCTTACCAGGTGTACTACAAACCTCCTACTGAGGCTTGCTAGAGGTACCACTTAGGGCCTTTTCTTCCACAGATGAGCCCAACCCAGCCCACTGGTTCTGCTAAATGGCAGGGGAGCCCATCCCCCAATCTAGATCTTCAGGAAAGACTTCTTTTTCTCTATGCCCCACTCAAAACTGGCAGTTTACCAAGCTAGCCCCAAAATGGGGCTATATATATAGAGAGAGAGAGAGAGAATATATTAGTATATTCCCTAGTAAATTCTGGCTCCAAGTAGAGAAGTTCATTAAAGTGCTATGCCTCTTTCTTCTTGATTGGGATGCATAATACAATAACTCCTTACCTCAGAGGCAATGCCCCAGCTTCCCCTAGAACATTGTACCACTAAGATACAACAGATTCTATAACTTTGGAGGCTATATCCTCTAACATTTATGGTCTAAGCATAAATGTTAGAGCATAAATGTTTATGAGCATCAGTGTCACTTCCTTCTTCACCATGTCAAACTAGTATGACGTCATTTATGACTTGTGGAGTGTCCAGATGATAAGGTCCTTACAGACTATGTTGTAACAGAAAACAGGAGAGTTAAAACAGCCTTGGAGCCACATAATGCATATGGCTGTCCTTCCCATATAAATGTTATCTGCTTTAGATCCTCTTTACTATTGGGAATTGAAAATAACGTTCAGTATATCAGTCACTTCATTATCAATGACAGAGGTGCATTAATTGGTTCCAATAAAGACATCACACCAGGCATGGCTGCTGAGATTGGGAACACTACTTGGCTAAGTCTATGATAGTCCACCTTCATTTACATGAATATATTTGGATTTTCAGGGACCATCTAGGTGAAATGAAAGAGTGAAATGAAGGAGTGAAATGGGAAGGTGACACAATTCATACAAATTCACCTGGAAGGCAGTGTTGCTTCTGATTTACTACCCTGGGGGGACCACTAGGGTGGGGAGTTTCTACTTTGCTCCTCCTGCCACATGGTTCTTACTCCACAAGTCAGGGATGAATGTATGAGCTCTGCTTACTGTTAGGTATAACCATCCAAGCACACATTAGGACCAGGGAAACTACCACAAGGAGTTGGGGCAGAATTCCATTTTTCATGAGATTTTCATAAGCCCCTACTCTAATCAGAAGACCAGGATGCTTCAGGTGCCCTGGCGTCAGCTCAAGTCCTGTGTCTAATCTTCGGAGTTCTGGATAATCCCTTTTCCATAACAAATTAGTTATTTAAGTGCCTCTAGGCACCTTTAGGGGAGGAGTGGGGAAATATTTCTTGTGTATACTTATGGTAGCACTCTAGAATCTGTCCTCAAGGGAACCCTCCCTTTCAATCAATGGGCTTTGGGGTCTCAGAACTGGCTCAGATTTAAATGGAGTGAGGGATCAAGATTTTCTGCGGCAGCAACTGACATTTGCCTTCCCATTCTTGATTTCTTTCTGGTCATTCGAGTTAGTTAGCTGCCCATGTGTTTTATCCCAAAGTGCACCGAGGTTCAACACAAGCTGCCACAAATCGTAGTGGGTCAAACCTCCTGACTGCCACACCCACATGCACTTACCATGGGATGCCCTCCTGGGAAGTGAGTCTGAGCACTGCAAACAGCCCAGGTGGGCCAAGGAGAACTTACAAAACCCCAGATGTCTGCTCCAGAGCTTGATTCTGCAACTGATTCTAGGTCTGGAACCAATCACAGAATTGGTCAGTGAAGGACGCGCAAAGACGACAACTTCAAGCGGCAGCCAAGGTTTCATGACTCTGAGTTGCCAGGAGTCATCGGAACTGTTTAAACAGCCCCATTCTTTCACTCGCACGATAAACGTTTATTGCACGCACCATATACCCCCACTTCCCTCAACCTAGACGTGCGTCTCTCACGCATCCTAAGACTCTAAACCACACCGCCCAGAACAGCAACGCTGTGCGGGAGCCCCAAGGGCTCACCTCCACCGGTCGGAGCCTCCCGCAGGATCCTGCAGAGGGCGCGCCCCGCCCACGTGTCGTAAGCCTCACCGCTCACTCTTCTGATTGGCCAATACATTTTCTTAGTTCCGGGCCGCGGTCCACACAGCTCCCGGTCTTTCAAACGACCCCCGCCCAGAGGGGCGTGCCGACAAGCGCCCCACCCAGGGAAAGAGACTTTGCTTTTTGCCTTGCACAGGGGAGGGGCACAGCGAAGACAAGCGGCATTTGGGGCCTTCGGAAAACTGAGGTCACGGAGAGAGCCGAGTCGAGCCGGAGAAGCCCGAGTATGACCGGAGAAGCGCAGACCGGCCGGAAGCGGAGTCGAGCGCGGCCGGAAGAAGCCGAATCCGTCCGAAGGGAGCTGAGCGCAACTGGGCGTTGGGCCCGGCGGAGCCCGCGCCATGGCGGCGGAGGGGACAACTGTGGCCGAAGGCGGGACAACTGTGACCGAAGGCGGGGCTGTCGGCGGCCGCCTGGCCAAGGACAGCTTGTGGCAGTCTAAATCCCCGGACGCGGCCCCGACCCGGCGACGCTCCTCGTCGCTGTCGCGTGACGCCGAGCGCCGAGCCTACCAATGGTGCCGGGAGTACCTGGGCGGGGCCTGGCGCCGAGTGAGGCCGGAAGAACTGAGGGTTTTCCCTGTGAGGTGGGAGGTCAGGGGTTAGCCCCTCCTGTGCGCCGCCGGGGCCCGGGTCAAGGGTCAGCCTCGGAGTCCTCGAGACTTTCCCGCTTCTGCTGCCTCCGAGTGCTCACGCCTTGGGTGGGGCGGGGCCCGCGGGGGCGGGGCCCGGGGGCGGGGCTCGGGGCGGGGCCCGCGGGGGGCAGAGCCGGGAGGGGCTAGGTCGCGCCGCGAGGGACTTTCTCCTGCTGAGGGTGCCTGATGTGGGTCTGCAGCGGAGGTCTCAGCAACCTGCTCTTCCGCTGCTCGCTCCCGGACCACCTGCCCAGCGTTGGCGAGGAGCCCCGGGAGGTGCTGCTGCGGCTGTATGGGGCCATCCTGCAGGTAAGGGGGAGTTAGGGCTGCAGGATGGCCCCATACGGCCTTAAGTCGTGCTGGTAGTGTCGTCCCCATTACGCCGTGGAGGCCAGGGACTCAGTGATTTGTACTTTATCATACTAGAACTTGTGCTCCAGAGCCTCCAGGTAGTAGATAGTTCCAACTATGGTGGGCGCAGAAAGCAGACGCTCCTGTATGTGCCAGGGCCCCACTGCCTTGGGTCCTCCTGACAGGCCCCTTTACTATCCATCTTCCTTCAGGGTGTAGACTCCTTGGTCCTAGAAAGCGTGATGTTTGCCATTCTTGCAGAGCGGTCGCTGGGTCCCCAGCTCTATGGAGTCTTTCCAGAGGGCCGGCTGGAACAGTACCTCCCAGTATGAACCCAGCCCACTTCTCCCCAAATCGCCTTCTCCCCTCAGTCCCTATCCCTTCCCCAGTGTCTGCATTCACATCCCAGTCTTTTCCCCAAGACTTTGGCCACCTCCCATTCCCCTACCCCTTCCCCCTCCTGCCCCTGCCCCCTCACCACCCTGATAGGTTCCTGGGTGCAGAGCCGACCATTGAAAACTCGAGAGCTTCGAGAGCCAGTGTTATCAGCAGCCATTGCCACGAAGATGGCCCAATTCCATGGCATGGAGATGCCGTTCACCAAGGAGCCCCACTGGCTGTTTGGGACCATGGAACGGTAAATCAGGCTTAGGACTTACCTGAACTGGCATACACCTGAACTGAACCAAATTCTGTCCAGCCCTACAGTCAAGTGGATTAGGCATTCCAGTATCTAGTATGGGCACTCAAGATTCTCAGCCAATAGAATGACTTAATCTGGTTTCAAGGGCAGTTGGGAGAGAGGGTAAGGACAGCAGAGTGAGTGTATTCTATTCTTTGGGCTTCAGGTACCTAAAGCAGATCCAGGACTTGCCTCCCACTGGCCTCCTCAATATGAACCTGCTGGAGATGTACAGCCTGAAGGATGAGATGGGCAACCTCAGGTAAGGGCAGGCAAGCTGTGGTTGTGAGGAAGGTAGCACCAAGAAACTAGGAGTCCTCCCCAGGGTCTACTTAGGGTTAAGGTCATGGCCTAGCCCACGAGGGTGACTCTAGTCATTCCTAATCAGTACCTATGCCTCTCCTACCCTTGTAGAAAGCTGCTAGATTCTACGCCATCGCCAGTGGTCTTCTGCCACAATGACATCCAAGAAGGTAGGAGAAGTTTTCCAATCCAAGGTAGAGGGGCCAAAGGGCCCTCATGTGACCCGAACCCCATCCCTTTCCCCCAGGGAACATCCTATTGCTCTCAGAGCCTGAAAATGCTGACAGTCTCATGCTGGTTGATTTCGAGTACAGCAGTTATAACTACAGGTGAGGGTAGGAGGGAAGGCTCCTATACACCTGGTTGCATGGGAGGAAAAACAGACCAGGTGTTCATCTCTGCATTGTAGCTGCCCAGGGCATTTGGGAACTGAAAGTCTACCTTGTTTCCCCAGAGGCTTTGACATTGGGAACCATTTTTGTGAATGGGTTTATGATTATACTCATGAGGAGTGGCCTTTTTACAAAGCACGGCCCACAGACTACCCTACCAGGGGACAACAGGTATGTGGGCTGGAGGATGGGAAACAGGCCTCATCCTGTAAGAGAGGAGGGAAGTCAGTCTTGGAAGGGTATGGCCAGAAAGGGTGCTAAATATTTAAGTCTCTCCAGTTCCTGGCTCTTGTCCATTGATTTCAGCTCCATTTTATTCGCCATTACCTGGCAGAAGTAAAGAAAGGCGAGACCCTCTCCCAAGAAGAACAGAAAAAATTGGAAGAAGATTTGCTGGTAGAAGTCAGTCGGTGAGGAAGGGAGGGGCACCATGAGAGTAGGCCAGGGCTCCAAGAAAAGGGGGATTACAGGTAAGGTGCCAATGCACATTGAGGCCAGAGATATGGAACATGAGGTTGAGGCTGGTGAGGAGGAACAGTTTTGAGAACTGGAAGAGTCAGGATGAGGTAGGGATTAGAATAATGGAGAAGCTAGAGTTTAGGGACTGACCAGCCTAGGGAAGGGGATCCAGGCGATGCCAAACGTGCTCTTAAATGCCCCTTCTTATCCTGCCCCCACCTCCAGGTATGCTCTGGCATCCCATTTCTTTTGGGGTTTATGGTCCATCCTCCAGGCATCCATGTCTACAATAGAATTTGGTTACTTGGTAAGTAATCCAGGGGTGGGCATGTTAGGTGGGAGCTGGAGTGCACCAGGGACCATATGTCCTCTAAGAAATCTGGGTATTCCCAGGTGGTCAAAGGATGGTAGAGGGTGCTGGTCCTAAGTTCTTCACTATTGTGAGAGGTGAATTTCCTTTCCTAGGAGTATGCCCAGTCTCGGTTCCAGTTCTACTTCCAACAGAAGGGACAGCTGACCAGCTTCCACTCATCATCCTGACTGTCCAGTTCCTACTCCTCAGAGTTTCTCCTGGAGCCTCCAGGGCAGGACCTTGGAGGGAGGGGCAGAGGGCAGGAGTCCCTGGGATGGGGCTGTGCCCCACAGTGCAACTGTATGAGGAGGCTGACCTCTCCTCCAATTTGAATAGTCCCCAAGGCAGGCAGGCAGGAGCCCTTGGGCTGTGTACCTTAATAAATGAGCTTCTTCCTTCACAAGATATCTTGTTCCTGACTAGCTGTAGCAAAAATACCAAGCCAAGGAATGCACACAGACTGACCAAGTGACCACTGCTTTCTGTTCTGTGGTCTGAGCTTAAAATGGTTGAGGATCCATTCTGCCCATTGGGGTACCCTATCCCTCAACCCTCCCCTCTTGCAGCCTAGAATAACAAATAAAGGGAGGACTGGGGAGTGAAGAGGTTACAGAGAGCCCTGGGATGAGCAGCCAGCCTGAGAAGGGATCAGGGAACAGGCTGCACAGCTGACACAGCCAGCGACCTTTCCCTTACATTCAACTATTTTTAGCTCTAATGCCATCCTCCTCACGTGAAACTCTTTGCCTCCCCCCACCCCCATCGTTGTCCCCAACCCTTGGGGCTCCCAGATCTTCAAGCACCCTTCAGTCTGCAGGAACTACCCACCTGATTCCCACCGTGGAAGGGGAGTTTCTGGTTCCGCCCTGCATCTATTCTCTCGACCCCAATTTGGGAGTGGGTGTCAGATTCCCGGTAAGGGCGGGGTATCGGTGGCCAAGCCTGAAGGACGTGGGGACATGGGCCAGAGTGGCCAGCCCCATACACTGACAGGACCGAACCTGAGCTGTGAGTAGGGACCAGAAAAGGGCGGCCAAGCCCCCCACTCGGCCCCTAGCCCAGCTCGGGAACCAGGCCGGTGCTGAAGTCCAGAGTTGGGGGCGCCTGGAACCCGCCTCTGTCCAGGCCGACTCCGCTTCCCAGGACGCTTCTCCCAAGCCCAAGGCCGCCCTTCGCTGCCCTTGGGGTTCCTGGCGCTTTCATGGCCCGGACCCACTTCCTTCGCCCTCATAGCTAGGCCAGTGCGAACGTGGGCGCGGGTTCCGCGGCAGTTGGCGGGGCTGGGAGAGCCCGCCCGGGGGGCGCGGGCCTCCGAGGCCACCAGGGGGGTGGGGGCAGGGGGGGAGGGGGGGGGGGGGGGGGGGGGGCCTCAGCTCGGAGACGGGGCGGCCCGGGGAGGGGCTGGCCTGAGCTGCTGCGCACCCTCCTGCCACCTACTCCCAGGTGCCGACCAGCCCCCAGGATGGCGGAAGCACACCAGGCCGTAGCCTTCCAGTTCACTGTGACCCCTGACGGGGTGGACTTCCGGCTCAGTCGGGAGGCACTCAAGCACATCTACTTGTCCGGAATCAACTCCTGGAAGAAACGCCTAATTCGCATCAAGGTGGGCTCAGGTGGTCCGGACCTCGCTCCCAGCCGGTGCAGGGCAGAGGCCCCATGATCAGGGTCTCTCATGGCTTTGCTTTAGCAGTGTGGTGGGTACAAGCCCTAGCAGTGCAGAAACCATAGTGGTGACAGAGGTGTGGTGGGGCACAGTGAGCAATGGGTGCTACAGGTGTGAGTGCCTGAGAAGGAGAATACAGGTGGTTGAGGCAATGCAGAGAGCCGAGTCCCGGGACTTCACAGGTGCCTGAGTACCTCATCTTTCTTCTCCACAAGGATGTCTATTTCTGCCCCACAGAATGGCATCCTTAGGGGTGTGTACCCTGGCAGCCCCACCAGCTGGCTGGTTGTCGTCATGGCGACAATGGGTTCCTCCTATTGCAAGGTGGATATCTCCATGGGTCTGGTCTGTTGTATCCAGAGTTGCCTCCCTGAGAGGTAAGAAGCCAAGAAGGCAAAAGTGTCAAGGGCAAACCAGGCCAGCTCCCAAGGCCAGGGTTCCTGAGTTGGGCAGATACAGGACAACAGCCATGGCTGGCCACAGGGGCAGTGCTCCCCCAGGGCCACCATCATCTCAGTCCCACATCAGTTTGTATTTGATGAATATACCTTAGTATGTGTGCCCAGAGAGTTTCTTGCCCCTCTGTGCCTCCCCTGAGATAGTTCCAAGTCATCAACTGCATGTCAGAATTCCCAAGACTGGTCTCCAGGGAGCCCTCCCCTGCAGCCTTCCTTCCTTCTCCAACAGGTGTGGCCCCTACCAGACCCCGCAGACCCGGGCACTTCTCAGCATGGCCATCTTCTCCACTGGGGTCTGGGTGACAGGCATCTTCTTATTCCGCCAAACCCTAAAGCTGCTTCTTTCTTACCATGGGTGGATGTTTGAGATGCATGGAAAGACCAGTCGCTTCACCAAGATCTGGGCTGTGAGCAGAAGTATTGGCGGGTTCAGGCACTTGGTTTGAGAACCTGCGGGGCTCATTTGGGGTCTGAGAAGGAGGTGAGAGGCAGACTGAGCACTGGTGTCTGGTGCATGGTTTGTCCTGAAGGGGTCAGGAGAGTTCTGAAGGCCTCACTTATCTGCTGATTTGTGTCTGTTCTTCCACTGGCTCCCGCACCAACTCTGTGCTCTGTGTCCCCAGATCTGTGTCCGCCTTCTGTCCAGCCGGCGGCCCATGCTGTACAGCTTCCAGACATCTCTGCCCAAACTTCCTGTCCCCAGCATACCAGCCACAATTCAGAGGGTGAGGGCCTGGGTCCCAGTGGGCACAGGAGGCTGGTTTCAGAAAACTTGCCCAAACATAAAGAACTATTCCCTGTAAATAATGGGCTTGAGAGTAATGGGGCCGGGCTGAGGAGAGAGAGGTGGGAAGAGAGTTAAGGCAGAGGTAGCCATGACCGTCTGGCTCCCATGTAATGATAACTTGGCTGAACAGTACTTGGAGTCTGTACGGCCCTTGTTGGATGATGAGGAATATTACCGCATGGAGACACTGGCCAAGGAATTCCAGGACAAGACTGCCCCCAGGCTGCAGAAATACCTGGTACTCAAGTCATGGTGGGCAACGAACTATGTAAGTCTGCTGTCCTGGGATTGTCCTCACCCATAGGTCTGACTGCCCCTTCCCCTGCTCTAACCTCCATCCACCCACAGGTGAGTGACTGGTGGGAAGAGTACATCTACCTTCGAGGCAGGAGTCCCCTCATGGTGAACAGCAACTACTATGTCATGGTAAGAACTAGAGCCCCCTGGCTCTGGGGCCGGGACTTAGGACAGCCCAAAGACTTAATGGAAGTTCCTGTGGGTGAGTGGGGGTTGTAGAGTGAGATCTGAGAGAGAGGGAGGAGAGAGGGGAGAGCCTGGAAGAAGAGTCCTGAGGCAACATAGGGGAAGTGGCCATGCCAGGACAAGGAGAATCCTGAGACCCTGCAGCCTGTCACTGCCTCGTAGGGTCTCTTGGGCTCACTGTGCCTGCCTAACTCAGACTTTGTCATTGCCTTTCTTGTTCCCTCACTAGCTTCCCAACCCCAGTTCCCTAGACACTTTCTAAGGGACTTCCTAAACCCACCTTGCTCTGTCATTCTGTGGAGCCAGGTGATGAGAGCCAGGCTTCACTTCTCAGGGCTCAGGAACTCACTGTCTGTCTCAGTCCACATGGCTGGCACTTGTCCTGACTGTCGCCAGCGCACAGCCAGCTGGTCTCCCTGCTCTCTCCTTTCCCACTGTCCAGAGTGCACAGGACAGGGCAGCCTATTGGAACTCCCCTCCTCCACAAACTGTCTTCCCAAAAACTCATACTCAACCTGTCCAAACCAGAGGCTTTAAGCTGCTCTTTGGTGGTAGAACCCCTTCTTCAAAGCAAAACATGAACAAATAAAATAGCAACAGATGAAAAATGCAGCTCTGGTTGAAGCTGGGTAGCTGGAGCAGGGTAGTGTAAGTTACACGTTGGACTGAGAGCAACTCATGCCCTGGATAAGTTGGTCCTTGGTGGGGTGAGACCCAGGTGATCCAGACAGAGGCCCCCACCCTGCAGGCTCTGCTCTGTCTGTAGGACCTTGTGCTGGTCAGGAACACAGAAGTACAGGCAGCCCGCCTGGGAAATGCCGTCCATGCCATGATCATGTATCGCCGCAAACTGGACCGTGAAGAAATCAAGCCTGTGAGTTACATCAGGATTGAGAATGGGGTGGGAAGGGGAGGCCTGAGTCTGAGCCATCCTGGGTCTTCCTCCCAGGTGATGGCACTGGGCATGGTGCCCATGTGCTCCTACCAGATGGAGAGGATGTTCAACACCACCCGCATCCCGGGCAAGGAAACAGGTACCAGGCCACAGCCAAGCACCACTGGCCCATCATGGCTAGGTGCCCCACTGCTGCTCACCAACCAGAATCTCCAGTGTCTCAGGATCATGAACCTGTGAAAAGTGGTCAGTTTGTGACGGATACCAGACATGTGTCATTTGCAGGCATGATCCTGGTGCTGGGACCCCAAGGGGCCCAGAACAGAGCTTCTCCCCTCCGGGGCTTCACTGTGCATGGGAAGGTGGTCGTGTGAGTAAATGGCAGTGGAGCTTGGAAGCACAGATTCCCTCCCCAGAGTCCATAGAGGAGGGGAGAGCAGCAGGTTTGCAAGAGGCAGTAGCCTTCCCTGTTTCTGACACTGTCTCCTGGGGCTATCTGTATAATTTCCTAGCTCGTTGGCTCCTTCTCCTATGGAAGATCTCACAGGATGGTTGTGAGAGGTAGTACAGGGCCTGGCTTAGCATGGAGATCCACCCCAAGGGGAAGGAAGGCCCAGGATAGAGCTGGGCAAAGCAGGGTCTGCAAGGGCCACCTAGAAAGGGCTCACATGGGGAGAAGTCTCCCCAAGGACCTGCCTCAGCCTGCCCACCGGCCTCTGTCACAGATGTGCTGCAGCACCTCTCCGACAGCAGGCACGTGGCCGTCTACCATAAGGGCCGCTTCTTCAAGGTGTGGCTCTATGAGGGCTCCCGCCTGCTCAAGCCTCGGGACTTGGAAATGCAATTCCAGAGGATCCTGGATGACCCCTCCCCACCCCAGCCTGGGGAGGAGAGACTGGCAGCCCTCACTGCAGGGGGAAGGTATCTGGGCCTGTGGGGAGGGTTTGCCTTGGCCTAGGTTCAGGGCCTCATGAGGAAAGAGCTTGGACCTGTCTGCCACCCTGGCATTGGGGGTGTGTAGGACCACACAGTGAGGGCCCTGGAGATGTCAGCAGTGGGCATGAACCTCTAACAGTCAGTGTGTGGCGGGCGGGACCAGATGCTCCTCCCTCACCCCAG